GAAGTAGAATAAAAAATTGGAGAATAATAAATGGAGGATAAAGCACGTTAAAAAGAGATGAAGAAAGAAAATAAGATGCTAGAGGAAGTAGAAGAATGTGAGAATGATGAAGAAGAGGTGGAATAAAAAGAGGGAGAATAATAGGTGGAGGAGAAAGCGAATTAAGAAGAGTTAAAAAAGAATTAAGGGATGAAGAAATAAAAGAAGATTCAGGAGGAAGCAGAAAAAGGTGAGGATGAAGAAGAACAAGTTGAAGAAGAAAAAAAGGGAGAAAAATATGTGGAGGAGAAAGAGAGTCAATAAGAGGAATAAAAGAATGAAGAGAATGAATATGAATGGAAGATACAGGAGGAAATAGAAGAATGTCAGGATGAAGAAGAAGAAGTGGAACAAAAAGAGGTAGAATAATAGGTAATGGAGAAAAACGGTTACGAAGAGGTATAAAAGAAATAATTGATGGAGAAAGAAAATAAGATACAGGAGAAAGTAGAAAAAATGTGAGGATAAGGAAGAAGAAGTGGAAGAAGAAAAAGAGGGAGAAGAATAGGGTGATGATAGAACTAATTAAGCAGAGGTTCAGAAGAATTAAGAGATGAAGAAAGATAGTAAGATGTAGGAGGAAGTAGATAAATGTGAGGATGAGAAAGAAGAAGTGGAAGAAGAAAAACAGGGAGAAGAATAGGTGGAATAGAAAGCGAGTTAAGAAGTCGTATAGAAGTAGGAAGAGATGGAGAAAGTAAATGATATGCAGGAGGAAGTAGAAGACTGTGAGGACGGAGAAGAAGTGGAAAAAATAAACAGGGAGAAGAATAGGTGTAGAGGAAGTGAGTTAAAAAGAGGTATAGAAGAAGAAAGAGATGGAGTAAGAAATGAAGATGCAGGAGTAGGTGGAAAATTTGAGGATGAGAAAGAAGAAGTGGAAAAAGAAAAAGAGGGAGAAGAATAGGTGGATGAGAGAACTAGTTAAGAAGAGGTTTAAAAGATGAAAGAGATGGAGAAAAAAATGAAGATGCAGGAGTAGGTAGAAAATGTGAGGATGAGGAAGAAAAAGTGGAAGAAGAAAAAGAGGGAGTAGAATAGGTGGATGAGGAAACTGGTTAAGAAGAGGTTTAAAAGATGAAAGAGATGGAGAAAAAAATGAAGATGCAGGAGTAGGTAGAAAATGTGAGGATGAGGAAGAAGAAGTGGAAGAAAAAGAGGATGGAGAAGAATAGGTGGATGAGAGAGAGAGAGAGTTAAGAAGAGGTTTAAAAGAAGTAAGAGATAAAGAAAAACAAGAAGATGCAAAAAGGAGGAGAAAAATGTGAGGATGAGGTAGAAGAAGTGGAATTAAAAAAAAGATGGAGAAGAACAGGTACAGTAGAAAGCTAGTTAAGAAGAAGTATATAAGAAATAAGAAATGGAAAAGAAAATAAGATGCAGGAGGAAGTAGATAAATGTGAGGATAAGAGAAAAAGAAAAAGTGGAAGAAGAAAAACAGCGAGAAGAATAGGTGGATGAGAGAGAGAGTTAAGAAGAGGTTTAAAAGAAGTTAGAGATGAAGAAAGAAGTAGATAAATGTAAGGATGAGAAAGAAGAAAAGTAGAAGAGGAAAAAGAGAGAGAAGAATAGTTGGAGGAAAAGCGAGTTAAGAAGAGGTATAAAAGAAATGAGAAATGCAGAAAGACAAGAAGACGCAGAAGGAAGTAGATAAATGTGAGGATGAGAAAGAAGAAGAAGTAGAAGAGGAAAAAGAGAGAAAAGAATAGTTGGAGGAAAAGCGAGTCAAGAAGAGGTATAAAGAAATGAGAAATGCAGAAAGACAAGAAGATGCAGAAGGAAGTAGATAAATGTGAGGATGAGAAAGAAGAAGAAGTAGAAGAAGAAAAAGAGAGAGAAGAATAGTTGGATGAGAGAGAGAGTTAAGAAGAGGTTTAAAAGAAGTTAGAGATGAAGAAAGAAGTAGATAAATGTAAGGATGAGAAAGAAGAAGAAGTAGAAGAAG